AACATTGGCATTCTGTGCTCACACAGCAGTGCAGGTCATCACCTAGCAGCTGAATATCGGCCCTGAGGAAGGGATGGGTGAGTTGGGAATGGAAGCATGGGCAAGCCTTAACTAGGTACAGAAATTGCCCTGAGGTGGTATGGAGGGTGTTACTGGGAACGTATTCCAGTACGTGCAAAGACCTTGCTGGGAGAAAAAGCTCGGGGCATTTGGTGAATGAATTTTAAAAAGCTAAGGTTTCTGGTGTTCGAAATCAGGGGAAAATTCTTGAGAGGTGGATCGGGGATGTACTCTGCAGGACTTGGTTGGCCACATGAGGGATTTTGATTTTAAAGCTTAAGCTAAAAGAAGAAACAAAAAGTTAGAAAAATAAAATTTGATTTGAAATTTGAAAAATAAAACCAATATGCCAAGTTTTCAGGGCAAGACAAGGATACTTTGGACCAGATTGACTGGTGGCAGTGGTGAGGTGGGAGACATGTAGAGCACTAGGAGAATCCGGTTCCTTTGTCCTCTGCTGAACTGACCCTGAACTTCTTGACTGGGCATTGCAAAGGAAGGATGTTGGGTGCCTCCAAGTTGAATCCAATAGTGACCCCATGCAACAGAGTAGAACTTCCCAGTAGGCTGTGATCTTTATGGGAGATGGCCAGGTCTCTCTTCTGCAGAGCCACTGGATGGGTTCAAACTGCCAACCTTTCAGTTGTCAGCCAATTGCTTAATCATTACACTAATTGGGCTCTTTAAAGTAATATTAAGCAGACTCTACCATCTCAGGCCGTGGTACTGGGGGACACCAGACTCAATTGGCACAACAAAATACATAAAAGCATTGTTCCTCATCCTACATTGGTGAGTAGCAACTAGGGTCTTAAAAGCTTTCAAGTGGCCATCTAAGATGCAGCTAATGTCTCCTATCATCAGAAGCAAAGAAGAGTGCAAAAAAACAAGGGCATTTGGAAGCAACCAGGCCTAGGACACGATGGCTCACGAAACCAGAAGAACTAGATGGTGCCCGGCTACCAATACCAACCACTCAGGAAAGGATCAAATCTGGAGATCCTGGATAGAGTGGGAGGAAAAACGTGGAGCAAAATCCAAAAACTCAATAATGACTGGAATTACTGGTTGGATGGAGTCTGATGAGACTCTCAAAACTATGGCCCTGGGATACATTCTGGGCCTGGAATAAAACCCACTCCCAGAGACTGGATCTCAGCCCAATAGTTAACAAGATGTACATGCAGACCACTCAACCCAGGGTGATGCATCCACATGGAAATGCATCCCCTCAGAGCAATCGACCACAAGACACCAGAGGGGCAACATTCACACAGAGGAAATGCAAGACAAACAGGAGTGCATGACTATGAGGGGCACAGGGGGAGGGTTATTGGGCAGGGAGGGGAGACTGGGTTAGGGTTGGGCATGGTAAATGGGGATTGAAACTAAATGTACACGTGATGTTGAATGTAAAACAACTTAAAATTAAAAAAAAGTAATATTAAGCAGACTCATTTTCCTGAATGGCTTCATCTTTACCTCAAAATACAATAATAAATTATAATAAAATTTATAATAATAGTAATAGTAATAATACTCCACAAGAGCTCCTAATAACTATGTAGAGAGATGTAACAGCAGCCACATAGTATGGACCACTGGCAACTAAGTAAGTGGCCTCTTACTTGCTCACTTCTTCAAATGTGATTTCAGTATTGGAGGCATTGAAGCTTACAGTGAATTAACTTGTGTTAGAAACATTGTCCCTAAGTTTCTACAAAGCTGCACACTTCCATCTTGCTTTTGTTTTATGTTCCTGTTGGGTGCCTCTGAGTTGATTCTGACAGTGACTCCATGCAACAGAGTAGAACAACACGTTGAGATATTGCCATGAATAATTGTCAGAATTTTGATGTTTTCAAATGAAAACAACGCTAAATATATTTTAGTTCTCCCTTCCGTATTTTTAATGAAAGTGATTGCCAACGTTTACCTTTTTCAATGACAGTTTGAACTTTCATCCCTAGAAACTCTCTTGGCTCGAGTCAATAATCCATTTTGTACATTTTGTAGATTTTTATTTATGCACTTGAATATTTGTGTGACTGCCTGTGATGTTAAGTTTTACTTGATTGTAACACTAAACTCCACTTATGAATGTTATCAGTCTTCATAATCTGTTTTAAAAATCAGAGGACATATTACCAGTGCTATGGCCTTCAAGTATGGATTATACCTGAACATAAAGAAAATGAAAGTCTTCACAGCTGGACCAACAAGCAACATCACAATAAATGGAGAAAAGATTGAAGTTGTCAAAGATGTTGTATTACTCGTATCCACAGTCAACATCAATGGAAGCACCAGTCAAGAAACCGGAGTCATATTGTACTGGGCAACTCTGCAAAAGACCTCTAAGTGCTGAAGAACAAAGATGTCTCTTTGAAGACTAAGGTGCACCTAACCCAAGCAATGGTACTTTCAGTTGCCTCTTATGCATGTGAAAGCTGGTCAGTGAATAACGAAGACCAAAGAAGAGTTGATGCTTTTGAGTTGTGGTGTTGGTGAAGGATACTGAAAATACCATGGACTGCCAGAAGGATGAACAAATCTGTCCTGGAGGAAGTGCAGCCAGAATGCTCCTTGGAAGCGAGAATGGCCAGGCTTCATCTCACCTACTTTGGTCATGTTGTCGGAAGGGACCATTCCCTGGAGAAGGATATCATGCTTGGTAAAGTGGAGAGTCAGTGAAAAGGGGTGGGGGTGGGGCCTTCAATGAGACGGATTGACCCAGTCCTGCAACAGTGGGCTCAGGTATAGCAAGGATTGTGAGGCTGGCACGGCGTTTCATTCTGTTGTACATAAGGTCTCTCTGAGTCACAGCCGACTTGACGGCACCTAACGACAAACAGGGCCTTCGAGAGAAAGGCAGGTGTTCTGTGGCCACGCAGCCAAACCCAGCCACGTATCTAGTACCCTCCCATCACCTTGGCTAAAGCGTTGACTTTGGTTACACGGATGCCATTTCCACTCAGTTTACAGGGGTCTCGGTACATTACTAAAGGGTTATTGTTTGTCATGATGCTGTGGGGCTTCCTCTTTGTTGAAAATGAAGGAAATTGGGGAGAATGGTAACTGCATGGAAAGAGGGTGCTGAGTCTGTCAGTGTGCTGTGGTTGAGGATCTAGATGAGCATGTACATTTGCCCGGTGCCTTGTGAGGGCAGTGGGAGCAGAGAGGGGCACAGAGACGAGCCAGGAGAGTTCTGGAAACGCCTTTCCAGAAGTACCCAACCCAGCACAGCCTCTCACTGCATCAGGTGGAGAGGTTGTTTTCCATTATTTCTTTTTTCCTTTTAGGTGTCAATCAAAAAGCTGTACCAAAACCCAAACCAAACCTGTTGTCTGTTTGATTCCAACTCATAGTGATGATATAGCACAGGATAGAACTGCCCCATAGAGTTTCCAAGGGTATGAATCTTTATGGAAACAGACCGCCACATCTTTCTCTCATAGAGTGACTGGTGGGTTCAAACCATCGACCTTCTGGTTAGCAGCCAAACACTTAACTACTGCAACACTAGGGCTCCTCAAAAGACCATAAAACCAAAAACCAAAGACTGTAGCATAGCTTTAAAAAAAAATCCTTTACAAAGAATTAAAAAATTATATTCTAGAACAATTGCCATAGGATTCTAGTAGATTATGAAATGAATTCGTTTATTAGAACACATTCCTTCCCTAATTCAGTTCATTATTTTTCAAAAATTGAGACTTAGAGGCTAATAATTTAAATTTTTATTCCACAAATCCAGGGTCTTGTGGAACTAACTCATGTGCACACATTTGCATAGTTGTTGTTGTTATGTGCTGTTGAGTCAGACCCGACTCATAGTGACCCCTCCTTGGGTTTCTGAGGCAGTATCACTATGGAAGTAGATTGCCCCATCTTCCTTCCAAGGAGTGTCTGGTGGGTTTGAACTGCCAGCCTTCTGGTTAGCAGTCAGGTGCCTTAAGCACTATGCTACCAGAGCTCCCATTTACATAGTAGATTACCCTATTTCCAGGTGTATCAGTGAATCAGTTATGAGGTACATGTTTCAGCTTTAATATTCAGTTAAGTCACCCACAACACATGCAACAGATTTTGGAAGTAAATTATCCCATCACATCTCAGATTAGGAAGAAGAAGAACGCAGAAACATAGCTGGAGAAAGACGGCAAACGTACACTCGCGCCCATGCCCACAGTCAACGTGCATCTGTGTTCTACTCAGCCATGGTTTTCTAACCATTTGTCTTCCCCCTCCCTCACTTACTTCTACATATAGCTTTTAGGGAGATGAATGGGATGAGCTATCAACCTTTCCTTTCATCAGCCCAGTCACCATCAGTTAGTTGAACACGGGCCTGATTGTATTCTTGAGGGAAACTCTTAAACTAGGGAAACTCAGCGGGACAAGGACACTCTCATCTACCTGGGTTGGGGTTGAGGAGGCTTAGAGACACAGCTGTACAGATCCACTTCATTCTTATCTTCATAATTCCACAGATTATATCAAACACCCCAGGGTACCTAACTACTTTGGTGGAATGCCTTAATCAGACCAAAGGCATGCCACGAATTGTCCTCAAATCATAGTTGAGTGTGATCATAGGCCATCCTGATCAGAGAGGGTTAGCAGAGTGACGGATGTCATGAGTGGAGAGGAGAGAGTTTGTATTTATTCATCAGATGCTGAAAATTGTGCTAACAGGATCTTGGAGGAGTAAAGCGTTGTCACGGGGGATGTCTCCCCCAGAGTCACAAGGCCAGGCCGGGTGTCTTTTACAGTTTGTAACTGTGTTTTCTCTTACTTCATCTTTGTTGGCGGGCTTCTGACCACATGTAACAAATTCATCTTTGTGATGAGTAGTACTGTGGAATTTCTTAATTCAAGCAGTCACTTCCATGGGATGAAAGATAAGCTTTCATTTTTTTTTTTTTTTTCCATTTTAGATAACTTACATACGACAAGAATATGAAACAAAATTCAAAGGGTTGATGCCAGCATCTCTAAGACAAGAACTCGAGGACACCATTTCCTCCCTCAAATCTCAGGTAATGACGGGAATCAAAACATTTTCCAACTATTTAGATGGTATCCATGCCCTGAAAAGAAACTTGCAAATGAGTTTGAGTCTGAGTTGATGCCAACAATCAATGTGATGTCATTAACATAGCCCACCACCCAGAATGAATTATTTCTTCTCTTAGAATTTTTTCTTACTTATTTAAGAATTCATCATCTCCATAGTATTTCCTTAAAAGCACCCTTGAAATTGGAAAGTTCAGTGATGGTTGACTTTCATTCCATTTACAGTCCACATTCCAATAAAGCCTCACCCTTTTCTCCTTGGTACCGGGCCCAAAATACCATCACTAGCACATTGCTGATTCCTCACTGCAGTGAAACACTGAGAAAATAAAACAGTTAAGTTAGAAGCATTTTGATTGTAGTGCGTTTTGTATGGTAGTATAAAATAGCAAGACGTCTTTTAAATTCAAGGAAGAATAATAATGAGAGGTATTCAAAAAATTAGATTATGTATTTCTAGAAGAAATCTATAGTTCTTGGTATACAGTATGTTTTGCATATAACATGCCCATGTAAACACACACACACACACACATATATAATGTGTAGGAAACTAATGCACAAGGGAGTTTGCACAGTTCACAAAAGACTATATCACATGTATTATTCACATAAAAATATAATGTGAGAAATGAAATTGCTTTAAATTTCAGTACTTATTTTAAAATTCCAACATATTTTTCTTGATATAAACCAAAAAAAAACTAACACACTGCTGTCAAGTCGGATCCGACTCATAGCGACCCCTCCTTGGGTTTCCAAGGCAGATCACTACAGAAGTAGATTGCCCAACCTTTCTTCTGAGGAGTGGCTGGTGGGTTTGAACCACCTTAGGCACTATGCCACCAGAGCTCCCTTTCTTGATATATAGTTATATTTTTTGAATGTTTAATGAATTGCTGACCTAATCTGTTTTTAACTTCTGCCTGAGAAGGAGTCCACTTACTTCTATTTCTTTAAGGAAGTAGATTGCCCAGTCTCCCTTTCGTGGAGTGGCTGGCAGGTTTGAACTGCCACCCTTCTGGTTAGCAGTCAAATACCTTAGGCACTATGCTACCAGAGCTCCCTAATATGCTTAGAAATTTAAATCATGCTTTTTCCTGGCAAAGTTTCACAAAGGGAAAGAATTTCTTTACTTTCTGTGCCAAGATAGTGCCTGGCACATAGTAGTTGCTCATTAAATGTATTTACAAATAAAATAAATGATGTCTTTTGATGGTATTCACATTAACTAAGACAAAATGCGGAGTAAATTTTAGCTATTCCTTTTACATGCCCATCAGTTAGAAGTCTCCTGTCTGAAAATGAAATGTTATCATATCAAGCTTATGTGATCATTGTTACTGCTACTAAGAAGTTGTGCTCTGTTCTCCCATGTATGTAAAAATAAGTACTGGAGGAGCATGCTAATAAGGAACCCAGAAACTCACTCATAGCACCCCTATAGGCCAGGGTAGAACTGCTCCATTGAGTTTCCAAGGCTGTAAATCTTTGCTGAGGCAGACTGCCACATCTTTCTCCCTTGGAGCAGCTGGTGGGTTTGCACCACCAACATATTGACTAGCGGCCCAGTGCTTTAACCACTAAGCCACCAAACCTCCTTGTTAACAATGAAAGAATGACATCAGTAATCTTTATTTATGTGATAAGGTCTCCTCTAGGTGTGGTTTACCCATTAACTTTATAGGAAAGCTTCCAGAGGGTCAGCTTTGTACAACCTGGCACCTTCAGAGGAATTTCTTTTCTTTTCTTTTTCCCACATGAAAAAAAAAGGAAAAGAAAAGAATGAAATCTGCTATCCACCTGCAGGGTTTCTGTTATCATTCTTACCATTGCACTGTAATGAAAGCCACTTCAGCCTCCTAAAACTGGGTGTTGACCCAGAAAGAGAGGGCTGCCAGCTGCGTGAGGGGCTCGGAATTGGCAGCTGCGTGGAGCAGGCACAGGCCATACAGTGAGCAAATTTAGTTTGAAAGCACAGGTGCCTGTGTTTTTTGAAAATTGTTGGAATTCCTGCTCCAAAGCCTGGTGGGGGAGGGAACTTGAATCAATGTAATCCTTGCATCTGTCAAAATTGTTAATTGTCTGCTGGGTCATTTGAGCAATTGGATAACATTAAGACCAGGGTGACATTACAAATAAGCAAAACCAAGGGGACCACTTTGATAGGTGCCCAGTTAGAAAGGGTGTGCTTTCTTCCCTTTCAAACACATTTTATATTCTGCCAGCTGTACTCTCTTGCATAACTCTGCTTCAGGATCAGCCGTTGCCATGGTTTCAGTTCAGCACAAAGAGGCAAGCGTAAACAATTCTGAAACTATCAAATAACCCTGACTCTTGATTGCATTAAGCTGTAGTATGAGTTCTCCAAAAACCACTTTCATTTGGTTTGTGAGGTGCTTGTGACTTTCTGCCTGATAGAGGTGTCTTTAATGTTATAGACGTTCACACTTCAAAATAATCAAACCATGTTGTCAAGGTCCGATTGCAGAGACTTTGCTAAGGAACCGTTTCTCAGCCCCCCAGGAGCGGGAGCACCTGCTCCGAGCACTGCAGTAGGCAGCGTCCGTCAGCCATTTCCATCATCCTATAACCTTGGGAGGCAGCTGTCACTGACCCCATTTCACAGATGAGGCATCAAGAGCTTAAGTGACTTTCCTGGAGCCATTAAGGCCACGCCAGAATGGAACCCAGATTGACCTGACTGCAGAGCTCAGGCTCTTTCCACTACAAAAGACCTCAGAGACTTTGTCTGCGACCTCAGAGACTCCCCACGGTGCATTGAGTTTTTCCAGAGAGCAGTAATTTTCTTTTCGTTTGCTCTTTCATTCACTAAACGCCTACTGCATATGAGCTGCCTGTCCAGCCCTGTAAAAGGCACTGGGGAGTCAAAGGTAAATAAACATCAGCCCTGCCTCAGAAGAGCTCTCAGGCTTGGGGGAGACAGATGCAGACAAACCACCACAAGGCAGTACAGGACATGCTAACAATGGAGGAGAAAGAGGGAGCCGCTGGCTCTGCAGGGACGAGGAGGAGATGAGCAGCCGGGGAGGGGTCTGTGGGAGAGGTTGCACTTGGACCGAATCACAGGGATGAATGGGAACTAGCTAGCCAAGCATTCCAATAGAGATATAACGGACACTGCGTGCAGGTGGCCATGGGAGGAAGAGGGTGACGACATGGAGCTGCAGAGACAGGCTGGGCTGGATCGAGACACCCCTGAAACAAGGAGTTAGAATTCTGTTCTGTAGTCTCTGATGGATTGTTCAGTGGGAATGGCACGTGATCAGATGTAAAAACCACAATGATAACATTCAACAAATCTTCTGAGTCTCATCATGGAGATTGTCTGAATGTAAATCAAACCTTACTGTAGGATTGGCACTGCCTTGACATTGAAGCCACCTTTGCCTCTTCTCACACAAAGTGTCTTTTCTAGGTGAACTTTCTGCAGAAGAGAGCATCCATCCTTCAAGAAGAGCTGACCACATACCAGAGCAGAAGGTACACTCATGGTCGGGAGCACCTTCTGGTCCTCCATGTTGTTTGCCTCCATGAGTCTCCTGGCTTGGAGTTTGAGTCTTTATGAAAATACTCACGTGTCATAGCAGCTTTGCCGTTAAGTCAAGTCTAAAACAGACTGATTTCCGGTAAATAGCCTGTCTGTGAGAAGACACCCACCTCTTGTAAGTCCAGCACTGTTTGGTCAGCACCATCAGAGCTGAGATGAGATGAGAGAACCCCAGGTGTGTGGCCAGGCCAAGCCTCCCCTCTAGAGCCACAGTAGCATTGTCTTGAGGCTGTCTTCCTTTGAGATAGTGAGATGATGCGGTTCCCAGCATTCCAGCTCACATCTTCGAAGCCCCGCCTCCCAGGAGGCTTGGCGCTGTCACAGATGTTCCAGACCAGAAGAGTTAAGTCCCAACACTCACCGCGACTCCAGTGCTCGTGGTTTCCTTCTCAGGGATGCATGATGCCTCTCTAGTGCAAGGGTCTAGTGACAGCACTGATAGCAGTTGTGTTAACCTGCTGCTTGAGAGCAGCCACGCTGTGTAATTTGGTCAGCCAGCCTTCCTTTTAGTGGGTGAAAGACTGAACCACTAACTGGGCATTGAACTGAAAGTAAAGAACTTATGAATTCTTTACTTTCCCAGAGATTCTGTTTTCTTGGTGTCAGTATGATTTGATCCCTTAGAGGCATAAAACCCAAAAACCAAACTCATTGCCATCAAGTCGTTTCTGACTCATAGGATGGAATAGAACTGCCCCATAGGTTTTCCAAGGCCGTAATCTTTACAGAAGCAGACTGGCACATCTTTGTCCTGCAGAGTGGCTAGTGGGTTCGAACTGCTGACCTTTAGGTTAGCAGCTGAGCACTTAACCACTGCACCACCAGTGCATAAATGATGAAAAATATCCTTTTCAACTTCTATCCAATTCCCAAACCAAACTAAAACTCACTGCCGTTGGTCGGATCTGACTCATAGCGACCCGTCCTTGTGTTTCCAAGGCAGTGTCACTACGGAAGTAGATTGCCCAATCTTCCTTCCAGGGAGTGGCTGGCTGGTGGGTTTGAACCGCCAGCCTTCTGGTTAGCAGTCAAATGCCTTAGGCATTATGCCACCAGAGCTCCTATCCAATTCCTGGATACCAAAAAAAAAAAAAAAAAAATCCATTGCTGTCTAATTGATTCCAACTCATAGCAGCCCTATAGGACAGAATAGAAGTGCCCTATAGGGTTTCCAAAGCTGTGATCTTTATGGAAGGAGCCCTGGTGGCACATTGGTTAAGTACTTAGCTGCTCACCGAAAGGTCAGTGGTTCCAACCCACCATCCATTCCGGAGGAGAAAGATATGGCAGTCTGCTTCATAAAGATTTACAGCCCGGGAAACCTTGTGGGGCAGTTCTACTCTGTCCTATAGGGTCGCTGTGAGTCAGAATCAGCTTGCCAGCAGTGGGTTGGGTTTGGTTTGGGAATCTGTATGAACGAACATAGATGGTGGAGAGTCTGTTAAGTTCGAACCACTGCCCTTTTGGTTAGCAACCAAGCACTTTAACCACTGTGCCACGAGGACTCCTTTTCTGATTCCTGGATATTTCTCCTGAATTGGAACATAGTTTTACAATTGGCAGATCTGTTAAGCCTAGAGGAAGTATTAACTGAGGTTTTCGGTTTTCAGGTAGCCACCCAAGAGCTGGCAGTGGATGCAGTTATGGGCGCTGCGCTGTGGATGTCTTCCTGCAGGTTTGAAGATCAGTGGCATTTTTTAAGACTTAAAAGTATGTAATTAAGATCATAAAAACATGCATCATTCCCACTAGTGGGGTGGTTTTCTTTGTGTCTGCCTAAGTTATTTTTTTAAAACATCCCTTTCTTTCCGATTTCCACATCTGTGTGCATCTGTGTGTGCAGAGAGTTGCTTATATTAGGGAAAGAATTGATGCCTCTGACCAGCCTGGCTAATGCTTTTGCACAGAATTTTACCAGTTGCATATGATCAACTCATGCCTGTAGCATCCCATCAAAAATTTTCATGTTTACAGTGTTTTCATGTTCATATATTATTAAAATATTATTTTGTACTTATCAATATTATTTCTACTTTGTATTGCACTTCATTTGCTAAAATAAGTGTGACATATTCATGGTATTTTTCCGTTGAAAATACTGATAATCACCAGTTGTACGATGGGGGAAAAAAACCTTTTGTCCTGTTGAAGACTCAATGCATGTTAGTGCGTGGAGGTGGTGTTTAGAATACAATCACCGGGCCACCTGCAGGGAGCTCTGGTAGTGTAGTGCCTAAGGCACTTGACTGCTAACCAGAAGGCTGGCGGTTCAAACCCCCCAGCCACTCCCCAGAAGGAAGGATGGGCAATCTACTTCCATAGTGATACCGCCTCAGAAACCCAAGGAGAGGTGGCTAGGAGTTGGTCCGACTTCACAGCAGTGTGTTGCGTTCGTTGCATTGGACTACCTGCTGTCAGTTCCAGTTCTCAGCTTGTTGGTGTCCAGGCAGTGCCTGGGGCCTCCGAGGCAGCATAGTTAAGAAATGCATGTAGCACCTTTGTTTCCTCGTGTTCTCTCTTTTGTGGTGGTTATTTTAAATATGATATCAATCTGCACTCTAAGAAAACCTAAGACTGTAGACACTTGTTATCAGGACACTCAAGGCGTTGCCAAGGGATTTTAGAATGTACTTTAATTGGGCCCTTTTTCAAGAGGGTGCCTCCTTGTCCAGAGGACATCATGTTGTTGTCCCTGCCACTGCCCCCGCCGCCCCCCATGAATGGTCATTTGAGTCTGGGTCTGTCTCCACCCCTAAACACTGATAAGCAGTTTTATGCTGATTGGTCAGCCCCCATTGCCAAGGGCATTTTGAATTGTGTCAAGGGACCAGCAGCCAGGAAACCACTGCTGCCCCAGATCCTTTGCCAGCACCGTGGTACGTGCCATGGGCTCTTTGAGACACTGTTGAAAATTCTGGCCCCTGGGAAGGGCCTCGGTCATCTGGCTTACTGTAAGAGGCCAAGGCCAGAAAGTTTATTTACGGTTGTCCAAAATTTTCTTCTCTTTCCCACGCCCATCTCTGTTGTTTGCTGGCCGAGGATTAATTACCCTTTTTGTCCTGTAACTGAGACAGGCAGATGATAAGGAAGTAACAGGTTTGAGGGCCACTTGCAAAGCCAGGACTAGGATCAGCATCAACACTGCTCTCAGAGTGGCCTTCAAGAGGACACCTCCCCTGTTGTCCTAAATCGCCTCGGCCCAACAGCCCACCACCTCCACGGGGTGTGAGTCTCTTTCTTGAAAGATCAGAGTTTTCTTACGTATATAATAAATTACAAACTAGCTTAAAGAACATTCAGGAAAAAGCGAAATCGTTGCAGAGGCCATTAAAGCCACCTACCAAATGAGGACAGTTGGTACCCAGACTGTGAGTTAGCACTCACTCAGAAGGGGAAGCTGTGGGCTCCATGATTCATGTTGGCTACTTCTGTATGGACCGTGAGAAACAGGTGGAAGTGCCCCAGATTCCGTTAGTGAGGTCATTAGCAGCGGGCCATGAAAATGCTTTTGTGAATGGTACTGTATGCTGGAGCTGGGATTCCCACTCACGAATATTTGTTTTTCATGAGTAAATATCAGTAGATGTTTTGGAAGGTTGCCAGTGACTCTTTCATTTCCTTGTTTCAAGGGTTAGGAAATTACAAACAGCGGTGCACCTTTGACATTACTCAGATCGTGTGTCCCTCCTGAAGCGTGGCCTACTTGGCTGAGCATAAACAGAATGAAATGTTAGGACAGTTTGATTATATGTGATGAGAAGAGGTAGTTGACACTAATGTTTCTGTGGAAGTTCTCTGATAAAGGAAGAGAAAGAAAATTTGCATTTGGCATGTTTGAAATTCCTGCTGAATCAAGCCTTGAGTATATAAATGGCTGCTGGGAGAAAAAGCAAGTGCTAAGGAAATAAATTACAGACCTTGTGCCTTATGATAGAGTCATCTAAGATTTCATCCTTTGTTTTTATCTGGTGGAAGAGCAATTGTCCATCACAAGTACCTAAGTTAGTTCCATCTCGAGGTATTATTATTGGCTGCTGTGCCTGAATCATCCACCTGTGAGTTTTACGTTTCAACATATAATTGTCAACAGGTCGTGGCTGATGAAGCACTGGAAACAAGCTGAGCCGAATAAAAAGCTCTGGGTTCATAGCGTTCCAGGCGTTCTGACTGATGTTACCCAGTTGGCGGGCCTGGAGGAGAGGGGTTGACAAGAGTGTCAGTTGTGCAGCCATCACCATGTCATCATTTTGTTTCAGTCCACCATTTCTGCGGTACCAAGCAATGAGCCCTTTCAGGGGTCTGACCTTTGATTTTGCAACCCCCGCGGTCAGCAATGAGCTCCTCAGAGGGCAGCCCTCAAGGGCACATGAAGAAAAAGGGAGACTGAGATGGAGGGAGCAGAGGATGGATGGCTTGCCCCTCACTTTGGTAAAAGAATTGACTATGACTCAAGGGAAAGAGCTCAAACATTATCTAGAGTTGTTGCATATTAAGTGATATCTTCAGAGACAGACATATCTGCTCATCGTGGTGAGCACTCTCATTAAAGGAATCCACAGAGAAAGTGCAGAAGGAAGAAACAGGGAGTTTGAATTTACAATTATCAGCTCTCTGATTGAACCGCACCACCATCCATAGAAGACAGTGGTGGTTTAGCTTTCTCTCTCAGGGTGGAAAAGAAAGGTAAAACATCAAAACTGGCGGGAGGAAAGTTTCCGAACACAAGGTCATTTTAATTCGTAGTTTCTTTAAAAGAACTCTCTCTTCTCAGCTTTCATTTTCTGTTCAGAAAGGTCGTTTCTTTTAAGCCTTGTCATTAAAGAAGGTTTGCTCTTTAAAGTGAATTATCAAAGGGTGTGGAAATTGCAAGTTACTGAAACTAAAATACATGATCAATTTTAAGTCAGCTAACTAAAGCCTACTTAAAATTGGATGTGCTTTTGTCCTGGCAGCCTCTTTGATAAAACCAGAAAATGAAATATGGTTGGTCCATTCGGAGTAGGAAAAGAAGATAATTAGATAAAAACTTTTTTTAACAATTGAAGTAGTCTCGGAGTTGGAGACCTGATTAAGAAGCTGCGGCAGAGACTGTATTTGAAAAGTAAAAGTTGAATATCTTTTTTTGACGTGTTTCGTAGCAATTGCATTCACTGTGTTGTTTTAAAAACGGTGTCAAACCTCAGATCAGATCATTCACCTCTCACATCCAGAAAAAAAAAAACTCACTGCCATCGAGTTGGATCCGACTAATAGCAACACCTCCTTGGGTTTCTGAGGCGGTATCACTACAGAAGTAGATTGCCCAATCTTCCTTCTAGGAGTGGCTGGTGGGTTTGAACCACCAGCCTTCTGGTTAGCAGTCAAATGCCTTAGGCACTACGCCACCAGAATTTTAAAATCTGGGTCCCGATATCCCAACATCTCAGCAATAGCTACTTGAATTGGAAATTCAGTCCTTGAAACATTTCAGGCAAAGACTACCACCAGGCAGGTATTCTAAAGCCATAGCCCAAAATATCACTATGGGTACTGCTGTTTTTATAACTGAAGCTTAATCAGAACTTCGGGAGCTCTGGTAGCATAGTGGCTAAGGCACTTGACTGCTAACCAGAAGGTTGGCGGTTCAAACCCACCAGCCACTCCTCAGAAGGAAGCTTGGGCAATCGACTTCCATAATGATACCACCTCGGAAACCCAAGGAGGGGTCTCTATGAGTCAGGTCTGGCTCGTCGACAGCACATAACAACAACAACAATCAGAACTTCAGGCTAGTAAATGCTCTTCTGTCCACTTTGGGCGTCTGCCACTTTAAGAGAGGGCTCATGGGAGACAGCTTGTTGGACGCCTAGACTTTGCATGGAACACAGAGCGAGAGCTGCGTAATGAGGAACCGCATGTTTAATTAGCTAGCGTGTGGTGACATGAGAAACCACCTTGCCCACATCCTTTCGCCTTACCTAGGAAAGGAAATTAGTTCGTAGAAGGAATCTGCCAGTTAGCTTTGTTTCCTTAGGCAACTCTCTTCACCTATCTGAGCTTCACTTTTCTAACCTATGACATAAAAGGGTCCAACGAGATCAGTATTTCCCACATTGTACCATTTCAGTCATCTCATCTCATTCAGTGTTTTTCAAACTGGTGTTCCGTCAAGCCCTGTTCTGTATGATTAGCTTCCAAAGAAGGGTTTGGGTCAGGTATCAGATACCTTTAGGAAATGTAGTGTGCTCTCTCCCCCTCCTGAAGATTCACATTTATATCATTCACTCACTCATTCATTCCTTCCCTTAATAAATAGTTATTGGTTGCCTACTGTGTACTAGACATCACATTAACTATTCCAAAATGCAGTGGCTTGAACAATAACGTATAATCATCTCTCGTGGTACTGAGGTTTGAGCAGGCTCAACTAGGCTGTCCTCGGTTGGTCTCATGCAGGTGCAGTCAGAGGTTGGCTGGGGAGACTTAGTGGGCTGGAAGCCCACAGTGGCTCAGTCACGCATTGGTACCTGATTCTGCCTGTTGGCTGGAGCATGGTGCCTGTGAGGAGCCCTTAAGAGCAGCCCAGTAAGAGACCACATATGGAAGTCACCAGCCTTGTAGGCCTGGGCCCAGAAACTGGCATGGAGTTATCTCTGCCATATTCTGTCAGTCAGAGCAGTGATGCAGCCCACCCAGATTCATCAGGGGGGAGATTTGGACCCAAAGAATGTCAATGAAGTCATGGCCATCTTCAATCTACCTCATCCTTTGGTTTAAAAAAAAAAAAAGAAAAACCTATTTATCCTCAAATTATTTGAGCAGCACAGAATAGTTGTGTTTTTTTCTTCAGGGGGTGGCTTCTTTGGGCCACTTATTTTATTATAGAGTTCTATGAAATAATAGTTTGAGATGCCCAAATGAGTGATGGCTAAAATGTTCAAAAATGCTGTCAATCTAGAATTTTGTATTTCTACAAGCGCAAGTTAAATGAGAGATTTAGAAACATTGTGTGGGAAGCCTTGAGTTGAGAATATTCAA